GAGAAGGAGCCTCCCCATCCTCTCTGGCCAGCCTCTGTTACCCTCACTGAGAAGCAGTTTCTTCTCAAATTGAAGTGGAACCTCCTGTGTTCCAGTTTGTGTCCATTACCCCTTGTCCTATCATTGTTTGTCACCGAGAAGAGCCTGGCTCCATCCTCGTGACACTCACCCTTTATATATTTATAAACATGAATGAGGTCTCCCCTCAGTCTCCTCTTCTGCAAACTAAAGAGACCCAGCTCCCTCAGCCGCTCCTCATAAGGGAGATGCTCCACTCCCTTGATCATCTTTGTAGCCCTACGCTGGACTCTCTCCAGCAGTTCCCTGTCCTTCTTGAACTGAGGGGCCCAGAACTGACGCAATATTCCAGATGCTGCTGGGAGGAAGAGAGGGAGCTGGATGCCAGGGAGGTGTCTTGCCCAGCTTCATCTCCCTGGATATTGAGTGTCCAGGGATGGCCCCCAGTGGTAAAACAGTTGTGTCCTGTCTGTCCTAGGCACGCTGCAGTTGCGAGAGCCCAGGCATCCTCCGCCAAAACAGCAGCCACATCGAGCGGTGGAGCTGCCCGGCCAGCAGACAGTCCCTCTTCTCCAGCCTCTGCCAGGTACGCTCACAACCTCACTTGTAATTCTGAGATGGGCACAACCAGGCTCAGCTTGGCTCCCTGTGGGACACAGGAGCGACAGCTCTCTGCTGCTTGTGTGTCCGCAGGGCTGCGCGCTCACACCAGGGCCCCCTGCCTTGACAATAACCCAGCTTCTCTCCTGTTCGCAGAGGAGGCAGAGCAGCTGTGTCGCAGCCTCGCAGCACCTCCCCTCCAGCTGTCGTGCTGCAGAATGGGCTGGTGAGTGGCCTGGCCTGGGCATCTGGGGTGGGGTTGGGTGGTTTCTGTGCCCTGGGGAGCTCCTGCAGCAGCTGCTTTGTAACCCATACTCTGTAGGTGACCATGGTTCTCCCCAGCTGGGCTTTCCCTGGCAAAAAGGGATCCTGGACGCTCAGTGAGGCGTCGAAGTTTACTTTGGTGCCTGCAAATGGCAGCTCTCAGCTGGTGCTCAGCTTTCCCCAAAGGGACAAAGCGTGCTGGCTGTTTTCCCTGGGTGTTGTCTTTCTGTTCTGCAAGCCAAGGGCAGAGGAGGAGGCTGGAAGCTGCTTCTCACTGGTAATAGCGTGCTCCCTGCACTGGCCAGCAGGGCTGTGCTCCTTCCAGCACAGGGAAAGATTGCTGCAGGTCTGTCCTGAGCCCAAGGCCTTCACCAGAGCTGTGGGAGGGGAGGTGCACCCACCCTTGGCCAGGCAAGGCTGTACCTGCTGCACGTCCCTCAGGGCTGCTTCCTGCTGCCTCAGGCAAGCCGGTGATGAGATGTTTTGTTTCAGAGCGAGGAAGAGGCCCTGCAGAGAGCTCTGGAGATGTCCCTGGCAGAGTCAGCACCCAGCTCAGCCCTTCCACCCAGGTACGGTCCAGGGACGCGTGGTGTCACACCCCGAGCCTACACATGAGAGGTGCCCGGGGCAGAGTCGTGTGGCTCTGGGATGACATTGCTATCAGCACGTGGCTCCTGATGGTGCCTCTGTGGCTGACAGGGAAAAAAGGGAAGAGTCCAGAGCCATCATGGAGCTCTGTTCAGTGAGCAAGCCCTCTGTGTTGACTGACAGCAGGGCAAACTGTTGTCTGACCACTTGTCAGCTCATGAGCATGGCTGGAGCGTGACAGAGGTGACGCAGGGCTGTTCCCAGAGGACACCCAGGAACCCACGTCCTCAGGCACACATTGCCTGGTGCTGCTCACAGCACCATCTTACAGACCAGTTAATGGTTCTCCTTGGCCCTGGGTGCTCAGATGCCTCCCCAGCCCCTGCCCTGTTCAGGGGGATCCCCAATTGCTCCCTGCCCATAGCTGTCCTGGAGGGGTGCAGTGACAGGAGATCCTGCCACCCCAAAGGGCTGTGAGCACCAGGCCAGGGGAGGGCAAGGCACAAAACGCACCGCTGTCCCCAGCAGCTTGCAGGAGGAGGAGGATCTGGCACTGGCCCAGGCGCTGTCAGCGAGCGAAGCAGAGTACCAGCAGTCGCAGAGGCAGGTGAGTGAGGCTGCCTGGAGGCTCTGCACCATGGTGGGGCCGATCCCAGCCTGGCTGAGTTATGGCGGGGTCTTCCCTGGGTTTCTGCTTCCTCTGGGCTCTGTTCAGGGTCACTTTTCTCACCAGGAGGCAGTGGGCTTGGGGCAGGGGCAGCGTCACTGCTGAGCACACAACCCTGGGGACTTGTGCACTGGATGTTGCCCCCCTTGTAGGGCAGAGGAAGGAGCCCATCTTCCCTTGCTCACTGCGTGCTTCCTCCCGTTCCAGGCACACAGTTCAAAGCCATCCAACTGCAGCATGTCGTAGGCAGGGTGTGCCAGCAGGCGTGGGATCCCGCTTGTCACCTGAGGAGCAGCTCTGGCCTCCCATGTGGACACCGGTGACAAGAGCCCCTCGCCAGGGACAGCCCATCTGCCCGGGGGCTGTAAGCGAGCCACCAAACACGCACTGACACCTCAGCCCCTAGTGCACGTCTCAAATCAGTGCAGCAAATCGCTGACACTCCCGGAGAGGTGACAGTGGTGTGGGACGAGGCTGAGCACACGCTGACCAAAGCAGGCAGCAGCCCCCAGCGTGCGCTTAGCCGAGGCTGCCGCGGCCATGTCCCAGCCCTGCTGGGACCGTGGGGTGAGGACAGAGCGGCCTGAAAGGACGTGCTGCCTGGGGACATCTCTGCACGCTGGGACGTTCAGCTGGGACGTGGGGCTGGGTTTCGTGCTCCGGGGAGGGCCGTGCCAGTCCCTCAGCACAGAGCGACTGCGGCTGGGACGGTCTCTTGCTGGGGTAGGGCATGGCTGAATGTGCGGCCCCCTTCCCCGCGCCCTTGGTGCCTCCCCTGCTGTTTGCATGCACAAGAGCACGTTGGGCCTTACCCAACTTGGCTGTGGGGCCACGACCTCTCCGAGACTGAACGGAGCTGTTTCCTTTCTGGTTTAATTTAACAAGGGCCATTAACTGAAAAGTAACCTTGGTGGTGACTTGACTGTGCCAGCGCTGCTCTTTTGGGAGGGCTGCAGCTGCCTTCCTGCTGCTGGCTGCTCCTCTGCTGCCCTAAGCTGTTTTAATGCTGCTGGGGTGGGAACCTCTCCCTCTTTCCATGCAGGGGATCAAATCCTGGGGAGCAGCAGCACAGACCCCTTCTTGCAAATGCAGCTCTGAGCCTGCAAGCGAGGGCTGGCTGCTGGTGTTTGGCGGCAGGAGCTGACCCCTGGGTAGGGGGCCCTTGTCCTGCTGGGGGTGTCTGCATCCCTGCAGATTTTGGCCATCCCGGTGCTGCTTTCCCACCTGCTCTCTTGAGCTTCCCCCAGTGGCACTGCTCCTGCTGTATCTGCTGGCAGTGACCCCCTGGGCCTGGAGGTGGGTTCAGGCCAGGCTGAGGGAATGCTGACACTTGTCAAAAGTGCTGCCTGGGAGAAAATAAAAGCACAGCATAAGCTGCAGAGGCGCTTTGGGGAGCTTGGTGCCCAGCCCTCTGCAGATAGGGGCACAAGATGGTGGGGAGTGTTGGCAGGATGGATATAGGGATGGGGCAGGTGCTGACAGCCTGCTCTGCCCCTCACCTGCCTGAGCCCAAGGAGCTCGGCCTCATGGCAGAGCTGCCAGTCGCCCCAAGGGCATAGGCATTAACCCTGCCTGCCCCTGCCCACAGCGTGGTCCCCTAGGGTGATGGGGGGGTCCCACAGATGCATACCCTGCCCAGAGCACACAGGCGCAGAGCTGGGAAGGGACCTGGTTTAAGAAACCACACAACAGCAAAACAAATGGGTACAAACATCGTGGAGTGTCCAACCCAGCCTCGCAAGCTGCAAAGGGCTCCCTGGCAGCGGAGGGCCTGAGCCCAAGGTCAGTGTCGCAGCAGAGCCCCCACCGGTGCTCATGGCCCCTTCTTGCTGCCGGAGGCCTTCTCAGTGTGGCGCTCCTTGCTCTCGCCCTCATCCCCAGCCTGCTGCTGCAGCCACATCCCCGCATACACACCGCCCTTCTGCAGCAGCTCCTCGTGCCTGCAGGGAGAGGAGAGGGGTGCAGGGTCCCAAACTGGCCCCAGAGCCAAAGAAGGGGTCCCCACAGGCCTCCCCGCTGTGCTCACCGCCCTCGCTCCACGATGCGCCCGTCCTTAAGCACCAGGATCTGGTCTGCGCCCACCACGGTGGAGAGCCTGCAGGGAAAGGCACAGAGGGGAGATGGCCAGAGCAGGGGTTTTGCACAGCAATACAGAGCCAAAATCGCAGGGGCTGTCACCTCCCAGGCAGGAGGACAGGTCTGAGAGTCCCAAGAGCTCAGAACCTCCTGGATCAGCCCCATCCCTACCTATGTGCAACGACGATGGTGGTGCGGTGGGCGCAGACCTTGGCTAGGGAGGCCTGGATGTTCCTCTCGGTCTCTGTGTCGAGCGCGGATGTGGCCTGTGGGAGAGGCAGGGCGTGGGGAAGGGATGCGGGCAGCGCTGGGTTGGGCTGGGCTGGGCTGGGGGCCGCTGGCCTTACCTCATCCAGCAGGATGATGTGGGGACCCTTGAGGATGGTGCGTGCAATGGCGACACGCTGCTTCTCGCCCCCACTCAGCTTCAGCCCCCGCTCCCCCACCTGGGTGTTGTATCCTGCGGGCACAAGGGCAGGAATGTGCTGCGCTGGTGCCCTAAGAGATGGGAATTTTCGCGGTCCTGGGGGGGGGTCCTGCCAGGACCACACGGCCACCCCAACCCATCCATGCCCAGGGGCTGATTTAGCCCTGGAGTGATGGGAGGGAGAGGCAAAGCAAGGCACAGGGTCACACAGATGTCCCCGTGGGGGATGCTGGATGCCACCAAAGGGTATCCATGAGGGCAGCTGCAAGGTCATGGGGGACTCTGGGATGGCCAAGGAAGGCGAGGAGGGACTGCGGGGTGGGGTCTCACCATCCGGGAAAGAGAGGATGCGGTCATGGATGTCAGCAGCCCGGGCTGCCTCCTGCACCTCCTGGTCGGTGGCCAGGACCCGTCCGTA